CTGATAACAGTAGTTCAGCCGAGATATTTGAACATAAAAATTTGTTTTACGACCCGTAAAAGTTGTTATTGTTTTTATTTTGATGTCCCACCTGCCGCTGTTTCGCCAATCAGGAATTGAGTGATCTCTGTTGCCAAAACTCCTCCCGGCTAATCTCACCGGTAAAATAACATGTGGCCGCAGAACTAAAAAATGTCTTGTTATGATTCTCAAATCATTAATGACAAAACAAAGACTAAAACGAGGATTTACATAGGGATGCCTTTGAAAAATTGAGACAGTGGATGAAAGTTGTGTGATGCAACACTTGATGAATTAAGTCTGTTTTCCTCCAATTTGACTATCATGTGTTATGGTGGCCTAACGATTAAAGCATAGAGCTGACGTTCCGGCAACCTGGGTTCAATCTCCATATGTCGCCTTCTTGTGTTTAATTGCATAAAATTACATTTTATGACAGATTGCTCAAAATCAGGTAAAAGACAATAATCAAGACGTTTTTTGCAGATTATAGCTTATTTGTAAAAAGAATCATTTGAGACCACATGTACCCAATTAAATAAGTTATACCCAATTTTTTTCTAAGTAACTAGTTGATAAAAATGCTTATTACTACATACAAGTTGTATTATATCTGTAATTTAATTGAAAACTTGAGGTAATTGATTCAGCTGTGTAAGAATTACAGTGCCTTGCGAAAGTATTCGGCCCCCTTGAACCTTTCAACATTTTGCCACATTTCAGTCTTCAAACATAAAGATATAAAAAAAATATTTTTTGTCATGAATCAACAACAAGTGGGACACAATCGTGAAGTGGAACAAAATGTATTGGATAATTTAAACTTAAAAAAAAATAAAAAACTGAAAAGTGGGGCGTGCAATATTATTCGGCCCCTTTACTTTCAGTGCAGCAAACTCACTCCAGAAGTTCAGTGAAGATCTTTGAATGATCCAATGTTGTCCTAAATGACTGATGATGATAAATAGAATGCACCTGTGTGTAATCAAGTCTCCGTATAAATGCACCTGCTCTTTGATAGTCTCAGGGTTCTGTTTAAAGCGCAGAGAGAACCATGAAGACAAAGGAACACACCAGGCAGGTCCGAGATACTGTTGTGGAGAAGTTTAAAGCCGGATTTGGATACAAAAAGATTTCCCAAGCTTTAAACATCTCAAGGAGCACTGTGCAAGCAATTATATTGAAATGGGAGGAGTATCAGACCACTGCAAATCTACCAAGACCCGGCCGTCCCTCCAAACTTTCATCTCAAACAAGGAGAAGACTGATCAGAGATGCGGTCAAGAGGCCCATGATCGCTCTGGATAAACTGCAGATAACTACAGCTGAGGTGGGAGAGTCTGTCCATAGGACAACAATCAGTCGTGCACTGCACAAATCTGGCCTTTATGGAAGAGTGGCCATTTCTCAAAGATATCCAATAAAAGTCTCTTAAAGTTTGCCACAAGCCACCTGGGAGACACACCAAACATGTGGAAGAAGGTGCTCTGGTCAGATGAAACCAAAATCAAACTTTTTGGCCACAATGCAAAACGATATGTTTGGCGTAAAAGCAACACAGCTCATCACCCTGAACACACCATCCCCACCTCAGCTGTAGTTATCTGCAGTTCATCCAGAGTGATCATGGGCCTCTTGGCTGCATCTCTGATCAGTCTTCTCCTTGTTTGAGATGAGGAGGGACGGCCGGGTCTTGGTAGATTTGCAGTGGTCTGATACTCCTTCCATTTCAATATAATTGCTTGCACAGTGCTCCTTGAGATGTTTAAAGCTTGGGAAATCTTTTTGTATCCAAATCCGGCTTTAAACTTCTCCACAGCAGTATCTCGGACCTGCCTGGTGTGTTCCTTTGTCTTCATGGTTCTCTCTGCGCTTTAAACAGAACCCTGGGACTATCAAAGAGCAGGTGCATTTATACGGAGACTTGATTACACACAGGTGCATTCTATTTATCATCATCAGTCATTTAGGACAACATTGGATCATTCAAAGATCCTCACTGAACTTCTGGAGTGAGTTTGCTGCACTGAAAGTAAAGGGGCCGAATAATATTGCACGCCCCACTTTTCAGTTTTTTATTTGTTAAAAAGGTTTAAATTATCCAACAAATTTCGTTCCACTTCACGATTGTGTCCCACTTGTTGTTGATTCATGACAAAAAATTTAAATTTTATATCTTTATGTTTGAAGCCTGAAATATGGCGAAATGTTGAAAGGTTCAAGGGGGCCGAATACTTTCGCAAGGCACTGTATAAGCAGTGAAAAGTGCTGAGTAGAGTCTGAGCGGGACGCTCGTTCTCCTCCACTCACAGAACGAGCAGCGAACAGCCGGCGTCCTCTAGCCTCTACAGCGCTGCTAAAAACTAGGGCTTCGACTTCGAATACAATTCTAAAATTAAAAAACATATATATATATATATATATATGCGAACACATATTAGACAGCCCTTACAATTCGAAATGTATTCAATAACTGCAAATAAAATAGTTAGCTCCCAAAGGTTTCACCGGGACGTGCCAGGCAGGTAACAGCTAAGCTAGCTAGCTCCCTGGAACTAGCTACATGTTAATGGTTACTTCCGGGTTTTTCGCGGCCGCTTTTTGTCAAATTAAAATAGTAATTTGGTCATGAAAACAATAACAAGAAATTCTGAAAAAGTCCGTGCATGTGTGTTAAGGATGTATATGTATACTGTATTGTCCGATTGACATTTAATGGTGTTGATTGATAGATATGTAGTTGTTTATTGAAGTTTATTGAACTCGGCTAGCTCCGCTGGCTTCTCTCGTACTCGCGGAGTAATGGCAGTATTTTACACACCTGCATTACAAACAGAGAGTGCATTGTCAAAGGGCAGCGGTCATTATTGGTTTGAGAGTTCTGTTATCAAGAAAAAAATGATCGGTAGAATTACATTCAAGTCAATGGAGTGTTCTACTGCTGCTGTGAGGAGCTGTATAATAAATTATAATTAAATACTCAAATATATTGTAATGTTTTAATGCATAAATTTGGATGCGAAACTAGCGGTATTCTTTTACCTATATATTGTGTTAGCAGTGCGTTGCTTTAGTATCATTTCTTCAGTGATTGTTGTACAGCTTACAAGAAGTTGTGCTAATGCTAATTTTAGCATACATGACAGTTCGCAAATTGAGCTAAATGGCTTTGTGTTATGAGAGCGTAGGGGAAATGAGAAGCCATTGCTTGCTTGCAGTCACGTGACGCATAAACTTCCGGTTGACGAAGTGGTGTCAGGCCAGCAAGAGTTGCTGCTGATATATGATGAAAATGCGACTCTTCCGAGTATTTTTGTGCTTTTTTGGATATTTCATGACACTTTGAAGCTATTGTGGTGAACGTTCTAACTCATCATTCTAACAATATGCACAAGGCAGAATTTTTCCACTACATGTTTTGGTAAGGGTTAGGGTACCGCGGCAAATGCTAACATGCTAATAATGCTAATAAGTCTCCATTCCTCCGCTGTATGTCACTTACATTCTGTAACATCTTTGTTTATGCCTCTACCATCGACAATAAAACATGTCTTCTGTCTGAATTAAAGACATAATCCTAGACTGTCATTTTCTTCACTTTAGATTCTAATCCACAGCTAGTGTTAGAATCAAGCTTTTGCACTGCTAAACAAATGATAGTTTAGAAAAACATGGATGCTGCAACTTTTCCGTCCGTCTGTGGATTAAGGAACTCAGAGTTAAGGTCCTGAAGGAAAAATCCTGCATCGTACAGAGCCGTGTAAGTAACGATCGGTGAATGAACTTATCATTCTCAACAGAACAATGCGTCTGTGGCTGTGTTCTTTTCAGGTCAAACATTCACAGTGTTCATCTAAAACGCAGACTCATACCTGACAATTAATCAACTAACTGTGCATTGTGACTGCATGGCTGGGTAAATAAATAATCCTTCGAGGTAAAAGCGTTTGCTAGTGAAATGTTAGCGAGCCACTTTTCGTAAAGTCCTTAGTGCGAGGCTCTTTAATCATCTCTTCACAAATAATCCTAAAGTATCCATTAAAGGTTTCGCGACTCGATCGGTTAGAAAACTTAAAACAACACATGCAAAGGGCTTATTCAGACACGCTTCTCTAGTGAACAACTAGCTCGGCTGACCACCACTTTGTGATACGCATATGTAATGAGGCGGACGTGACGTCAATTGCAAGCAAGCAATTGAGCGAGTTGGGGGGCGGTGCTAAACATTCAAACCTTGCAGAAACAGGTATAGCGCCTTTAAAATAATGTTAGTTTCTATTTGATGTGGGGCTTATACATGTATGTCTAAAAAATAGGGAATAAATAAAATTGAAGGGTGATATCCTCTGGAGGAAACCCTGATGTTGATACGCTGAAGAAATATGTTCCAACATTCACTTTTCCCACTCCTATTTTGGACATTAATTGCTTATTTATTTTGCATTATCTAAAATTACATTGGTTTTAATAATAAAAAAACATGCATTCAAAACATTCAATCAACATTAGCATGCCTCATGGCAATGTGAATGGAGACAGACAAACAACTGATAAAATAATTCCTTGTGTTTGCTGCTGGATTTGGTGTTTATCTGGCAACCTGAGTCAGGGAGAGTGGGAGAGGACTACAAAATATTGACTGTGACTGCAGTACCACTTTTGGCCAGATTTTTACATACTGCTACTTAAAAAATGGTGGTCTGTCCTTTCAAAGACTGCAACTTCCGAACCAACGGCTACTATGCATTTACTGTAATGTCCACAAAAGTAGAAAGCATAGTGGAAGTTCAGACATTAAGGACCATATAACAAGACACAACAGAGCCCTCGTGTTCCTGATGAGGGTCATCGTTTTTTAGAGGAAGTTGATTTATTGGAAACTCAAGAATCGAGAGGCACCGGGAAGATTTAAGAGACCAGCTAAAGTCCAGTCATGCCACGGACGTACAGGCAGTGACACAGGAACTGTACCGTCAACAATGTGGTGTCCAACGTGAGTGTGTTTTAAATCAACATCTTGATCATTTTTACACAGTGACTGGATTCCCCCCAGATGTTCTATATGACCTGTTTGAAGCTGTTGTACCTGTGTTTAGGTGAGATGATCCGCCAAGTATTTCACTCTAGAGTATTTAAACAAAAAAATACAGTCCTTCCCATATCAGCACACAGACAAAGTTGACAGGCCGCAACCTATTCCCAGAAAGTTTGCTGCAAAGCACTCCATAGGGGGCAACGGACATGAAAATGCAACCATTATCCGATTGCTTCCTTTGATGATTAGAGAGAAAGTCCAGCAAAAAGATGCTTATTGGTCGATCCTCATGGATTTAAAGGATATTGTCGAATTGATGTTGTGTCCTTAATTCACTGAGGAAACTATTCAATATTTACAGTCCAAAATTGAAGATCACAGACGGACATTACGGGAAGTTTTCCCGGATTTTAATCTTCGCCCTAAACACCAATTCATAGACATTTGAAAATCAACATCCTCATATCAAATATCCATGTAAAGGAAGAAATGGAAACGACTGAAAGGGATCAACTACTTATTGGGAGAAGCATGCAGACAACATTTGCAATTAGACAGCTGGAGATTGTACCTGGGGATAAAACAATAAAGGACCACCTCACTCGATGGCCAGCTTTATTGATGGAATCACAGGTATTGCTCTTAATTCATTTAAATTCATGATTTCATTTCAGTTTAAACTTAATAAACATATCTTATATTCACATATATTTGCTGAGTTTCATCGAATTACCAATGAGAATCTCTGCAAAACATTCCAGCATTGACCAGCATACTCAGACACTGATAGACTATACAGAAAGAAGGCTTCCTGCACGGGAAAGATACCTGAGGCCCTGCAACTAATTCTCAAGGAATACGATTTGCATGTATTTATCTGTTGTGAAATGTCTAGGGCAGAAGTGTAGCACACAAAACAAAACACAGAACATACTTTAAGGATAAAAAAACATTACAATGGCATAATGATCATTTGTTTTGCTAATGAAGCTGCCAGTCAGTCATGTTCTGTAATAAAGTGTAACAGAGAAGGATGTGGTCAGATCAACTATTTTTACAGGTTATGGGTCTGACGGTACTATGTTGACTGTACTTAACCCTGGCTAAGCCCTTCCTCAACCAAATTGAATATGACAAGTGAACATTTAATCTGGGAAACATCCTGAAATTTGACAGGAAGAAAAGAAGACAAATTAAAGCCGCAAGCGGCGTCAAACGGCCCTCGCCGCACCGCGCGCACCACCCCGCACCGCGCGCACCACCCCGCACCAAGCCGCCCAGCATCAAGCCGCACCGCATCAAGCCGTCCCGCACCAAGCTGTCCCGAATTAAGCCACCCCGCATCAAGGCGCCCCGCACCAAGCCGCCCCGCACCAAGCCGCCCCGCACCAAGCCGCCCCGCACCAAGCCGCCCCGCACCAAGCCGCCCCAAGCCGCCCCGCACCAAGCCGTCCCGAACTAAGCCACCCCGCATCAAGCCGTCCCGCACCAAGCCGTCCCGCACCAAGCCGTCCCGCACCAAGCCGTCCCGAATTAAGCCACCCCGCATCAAGCCGTCCCGCACCAAGCCGTCCCGAATTAAGCCACCCCGCATCAAGGCGCCCCGCACCAAGCCGTCCCGCACCAAGCCGTCCCGAATTAAGCCGTCCCGAATTAAGCCACCCCGCATCAAGGCGCCCCGCATCAAGGCGCCCCGCATCAAGCCGCCCCGCATCAAGCCACCCCGCATCAAGCCGCCCCGCACCAAGCCGCCCCGCATCAAGGCGCCCCGCATCAAGCCGCCCCGCACCAAGCCGCCCCGCACCAAGCCGCCAAATATCAATTTTTTCACCAGGTCTGATGTTTGGGCAACATTTTACAACTTTTCATGCATGTTCAGGGGGTGAAATTAAGGCTCAAAGTGCAGAATTTGACATCTCTCGAGCAAAAACAATAGGCCCTTTGCCCGTTCGGGGCTCGGGCCTAATAATGTTTACACAATGGTACCAATTGACACATGACACACCTAATTTTGTTCCAATGAACTTTTTACAGGATGCATCAGCTTTGATCTCTGCACTAATTACTTAGGGGTTTCTCAATGGGTTGCATCAGCTGCTGTTAATATTCTGTGTATTTAAAAAAAACGTCCTTAGAGCTTTCTTCCATCCATGCGGGAGCTACCTGACCTGCATTTCACACGGATACATGAGCAGAACATGCAAATGAGGCTGTAACCAAATCAATGTGAATGTACAGTGGAGGACAAGGGATAATTTTTCTGATTTTGAATATAAAATCATATAGTAAGTACAAAATATGTTGTTCTCTCAAAACTGGAGAGTTGACTGGAGTCACTGTAACATCCAAACCACAACCTGATCTAAATACAGTATGTAAACACCAAAACTGAAAACCAATTGTAATAATTTTCGTTTGTCAGACCCAGGATCGGTTGGATATATGTTGGTATGGAAGCATGTCAAGGATTCCCCCAAATAAGGTGGAGGAAGTATGTGCAAAGGAGGGAAGTCTGGAAATAAAATAATGCAACAGATAGACAATATTGACAGCATGAGCAAAATGACATCCTTTTTTGTTCTAGGTTGCTCTTTTTTGGTGGCATCTACACACACTCAGCCTCTCAACGCCACGCCAGCAGAGGAGACCTGCTTCCTGTTACAGTGAGCCCGCCCTCAGACCACTTCCTCCCACTGTAAAAGGTGAATCTCCATAACAGTGCACACTCAGCTTTCTACATTTGTCTCTACTTTTGTCCTCCTCTCGTGCACTTAGACTGAAACCTGCCATTTAGATTTAAACATTGAACTTAGTGGAAATATTTCCTGAATAAAAGGGCGCTGAAGGAAGGGGCCTTTGACAACTGTTTGTCGTATTCTTATGTTCTTCTCTCTGATAGTTATTCGTCTGCACTCAGCAACAGCTATAGCCTTCTTTTAGTTCAAGGATTGTCCCATTTGTTGGACCATCATTCTGATCCTCTCCTTTTCAAACTCAACTTAGAACCTTTTTTTTAAAAAAATATTCCAGATACTTTATTGAGCCCAAAGCTGCATACATATAGTGCGGCCATTAAAGTTATGCAGACAATATGATAATACTTTTCATGAGCAAATGAAATATGTGCCCAGGACTCAGTGACTTCCTCTCAGAGACAGACAGACAGGAAGTCTTCAATCACTTTGAACAATCACACACACCTCCTGATCTGCTGGAGAGCACAAGTGAAATGAGCAGATCCTGATTATGCAAAGAACCATTCAAATTCAAACTGAGTTTGTGAGTTAGTATACAATGTCTGTACAGTGCATTCGCCTTTCAAAAGAAGTTATACCACAAAGCTCTTCATCTGAATAGAAAACATATTCCCTTTTGCAGTCCTTTAATAAAAAAGCTTGTGGGTCAGTTACAACACTTGGGTTTGTGAGTTCATTTTTCAGTAAATGAAAGCTGTTCTGTAGCTGTGACAGAGGCCCTACAATCCTGCATGTCATAAGTACAAGTTGTATTGTTTTAAAAACATTTCCAATCTGTTGCAGATAAACAAATTAAAGTCTGTGGCCTTACCCTGGATACTGTGCAGGTAGACTTTGAGGCCAGCCCGGAGTTGTGCATCACTCACTCTCTCCAACTGTTTGGAGAGACGGTTCACAGCACTCTGCAGACCTTCGTGCCTCTTGATCTCTGCTTTTATGGCAGTGGAGTTTGCAGATTTTCCGCTGCTGCCCATCCTGAATCCAGTCTCCTCAGCGCTCACATGTATTCAGCCCATTTGCACTTTTCTATACCCACGTTCCGAGCACATATGAACAAGGAGGAGAAGACTTTGCAAACGTCGTCTCTCAGTTGAAACCACAAGTTCTCAATTTCCTCTGCAGGTTTGAACACAACTGACTTCACTTCCTATTTTCAAACCTGTGCCTCTTCTGCGTCAGCTCAGTTTGAGCTGGCCTATTTACTGAGGTGGAGAGTTAAGTTCTCATGTTACCTATGTATAGGAGTAGATATTTTGGTAGGGGTGTGCTATAAAATTATCTCTTTAGATATATTGATTTGATTGATACAATATTATCTTTTATTTGGTAATATAGTTTTTTTCCAGATAAAAAAAAGTTTACAGATTTGGTTAGATGTTTTGACTTTAATAACAATTCTGTTCGCACATCCCTAATCTGTCTTTGAGTTTAATGTCTCTGTACATTGTCCCTTTAAATAAAGACTACACTAAACTCATTCATCTTCTATAAATAAAATGCATCAACAGTGTGGGTATTTTGTTCTAATGTGGCAGTAGAAATATACTGTATCATATCGAATTGAAAGGTCCTAATAGAATCTACATTTGTCTGTTCATCTGTTTATCATTTATTTTTTCTTTTTTTTTTTTTTTTTATTATTATTATTATTTTCAATTTACAACAAACGTCAAAGACGAGACATCTGAAAATATAGAGCTCATATCAAAATAACAAAATACAGTATATGAAATAAAATTACATTAATAATCTAAAAAAAGTTAATTTAGTTCGTGTCAGGGGGTTTCAAGTCTTTGTAACAGTCTTGGAGTCGTTGGCTTTTCTTGTTCATTACATACAGAAGTGAGTTCATAACATTTTTTACATCACTTAAAAATAGAGGAAAATACAGCGGTGATTTCAAAAATGTTTGCTTGTGAATAAAATTGTTCATCTGTTTATCTCTTCCCCTCCTCCTGTTTTGTATGACGCCATCAGTGCCGGACACACCTCAGCCTCGACCAGCCGCAAACAGCGACTTTCGGTCAGAAGAACACCGAAAACACCGTGATTACAACCGACACAGGGCCGGCTCGGACATTGCAGCACTTGAAGATGGTCTGCGGGGGATTCACCTGCTCCAAAAATGCCCTCTGCTCCCTCAACGTGGTGTACATGGTGGGTAAACCACGGTTGAATCACCATGTATTACGCTGTGCTAGCTGGGTTAGCCTGGTTAGCTTTTAGTTAGCACAGATGTTTTTTTGTTTACCTTTCAACTATGTTATGTTTATTCCACATGCTATTGAGCAGACCGATTCCTGGTATGTAAGCTATGTGTGTAGAAACGTTTCCCTAGATATAAAAACAGTGTGCTGTAATGCTAAATAGATAGATTTTGGATATCGTGGGGTTGTGCTAGCTAGCTCCTTGTTGTAGCCGTCCCATTGTGTAATATAGCTAGGTGTTTACTAAGTCGATACAACCATCGTATAGACAGCACTGTGTGAGTAGTTTGGCCTTATGAAAAATGAATCGCTTTTAAATGTTTTGTTAAGTATGTAGGTAGTCATGTGAAAATGTCTTCACGGGGTCTGTCAATCAAACTCTCACATTTTCGTTCAATGAGAATTCTGATTAGTAGTGAAAGAACAAAACTGTTTTATTTGAATTCGAAATCAATTTGATATGAATATTTGGTATTGCCCTTGCACTTGAATAATGGAAGTTGATCTTTTCTGTGACACAATGGTCTGTTCACAGTTGATTAGTAGGTGTGTGTGGATAGTTTAACAAGAAAAGTATTTCTTCAGCGTATCAACATCAGGGTTTGCTCAAGAGGATATCACCTTTCAATTTTATTTATTCCCTATTTTTTAGACAAACATGTAAAAGTCCCACATCAAAAAGAGACTAACATTATTTTAATTGGGGTACATGTGGTCCTAAATGATTATTTTTACAATTAAGCTATAATCTGCAAAAAAACGTCTTGACCTTCATCTTTTACCGTTTTTAGAGCAATCTGTCATAGAATGTGATAACATGCAATAAATACAAAAATACATAGCCGGAATCGAACCCGGGTTCCTGCATCGTAAGCGCACAGTTCAGACCATTAGACCACCGATTGACACGAATAGAGACACTGTGAAGAACGGAGTAAAACTAGAAAATTCTGCATCACACGTGAACTTTTATCAGCTGTCTCAATTGTTCAAAGGCATCCCGATATAAATCCTCGTTTTAGTCTTTGTTTTGTCATTAATGATTTGAGAGTCATAACAAGACCTTTTTAGTTCTGCGCCACATGTTATTTTACCATTGAGATTAGTGAGCCGCGCGGAGTTCTGGCAACCCGATCACGGACTTACATGACACTTCCTGATTGGCGAAACGGCGGAGGGTAGGACATCAAAATCAAAACAATAACAACTTTTACGGGTCGTAAAACTAATTTTGATAATCAAATATCTCGGCTGAACTACTGTTATCAGTTAAAAATGAATTCAAAAAGAGTATGATTTAATAACGCCTTTTGAAATATTCGGGTCATTTAATGATGATTTGACATGCAAATATTACATATTGCTCCTTTAACTTATACATATCCATGAGAGAGGAGTGCTCTCCGTGTCAATGCGCCATCTTGAAAAACGGTGGTCTATAAGGGACAAAACGGATGTGAGAATCGCATTTGTTTCACATGAGCTACTGATATTGCTGCTTTCACCATGCCTTCACAAGTTGGAAGAAGGAACCATGGAGATTGACAGTTATGTAAAAGAACGATCCAAACAACAATCTTCTAGAAAAATAATATTATTCGGCCCCCTTGCGCTAATACTTTGTAGCGCCACCTTTTGCTGCAATTACAGCTGCAAGTCGCTTGGGGTATGTCTCTATCAGTTTTGCACATCGAGAGACTGGAATTCTTTCCCATTCTTCCTTGCAAAACAGTTCGAGCTCAGTGAGGTTGGATGGAGAGCGTTTGTGAACAGCAGTCTTCAGCTCTTTCCACAGATTCTCGATTGGATTCAGGTCTGGACTTTGACTTGGCCATTCTAACACCTGGATACGTCTATTTGTGAACCATTCCATTGTAGATTTGACTTTATGTTTTGGATCATTGTCCTGTTGGAAGATAAATCTCCGTCCCAGTCTCAGGTCTTTTGCAGACTCCAACAGGTTTTCTTCCAGAATGGTCCTGTATTTGGCTCCATCCATCTATTCCCATCAATAAAAAAAAAATAAAATTTGTCCCTGCTGAAGAAAAGCAGGCCCAAAGCATGATGCTGCCACCACCATGTTTGACAGTGGGGATGGTGTGTTCAGGGTGATGAGCTGTGTTGCTTTTACGCTAAACATATCGTTTTGCATTGTGGCCAAAAAGTTCGATTTTGGTTTCATCTGACTAGAGCACCTTCTTCCACATGTTTGGTGTGTCTCCCAGGTGGCTTGTGGCAAACTTTAAACGAGACTTTTTATGGATATATTTGAGAAATGGCTTTCTTCTTGCCACTCTTCCATAAAGGCCAGATTTGTGTAGTGCACGACTGATTGTTGTCCTATGGACAGACTCTCCCACCTCAGCTGTAGTTATCTGCAGTTCATCTAGAGTGATCATGGGCCTCTTGGTTGCATCTTTGATCAGTCTTCTCCTTGTTTGAGATGAAATTTAGAAGGACGGCCGGGTCTTGGTAGATTTGCAGTGGTCTGATACTCCTTCCATTTCAATATAATTGCTTGCACAGTGCTCCTTGAGAGGTTTAAAGCTTGGGAAATCTTTTTGTATCCAAATCCGGCTTTAAACTTCTCCACAACAGTATCTCGGACCTGCCTGGTGTGTTCCTTTGTCTTCATGGTTCTCTCTGCGCTTTAAACAGAACCCTGAGACTATCAAAGAACAGGTGCATTTATACGGAGACTTGTTTACACACAGGTGCATTCTATTTATCATTATCAGTCATTTAGGACAACATTGGATCATTCAAAGATCCTCACTGAACTTCTGGAGTGAGTTTGCTGCACTGAAAGTAAAGGGGCCGAATAATATTGCACGCCCCACTTTTCAGTTTTTTATTTGTTAAAAAAGTGTAAAATTTTTATCTTTTATGTTTGAAGCCTGAAATGTGGCAAAGTGTACTTTCGCAAGGCACTGTAGATCCATGATTTAGACAGTAGACACCGCTGAAGTTATTTGACAGCTCCGTAAAGTCTCCAAAGGGCCCATGAAGGGACCTGCAGCGCACATAGCCGCCCTCGCGCCTGCCTGTTTACAAATGTCCATCCATCCATCCATCAATTTTCTTCTCCTTAATCCATTTCTGGGTTGGGGGGGTGGCCAGTACACAGAGCACCAGCCCCTCACTGATCCTCCTGCAGGTGGTGAGTCCACAGGAGCTGAGATCTTTCAGTGGGAGCTTCAGGCAAAGTGGGGTTAAGTCTTGTCTAAGGACACAACGACAGCAGTCATCAGTGGGAGTCGTGAAGTAGGTCTTACGGTGGGCTCGAACCCACGACCTTCAGGCTCAAAGGCCAATGTACTAGTCATAATGTACTTTAGAACAAAAAGTCACAGAGGTCCATTTTCAGCGAGAAAAAGTCGGAATTGCGGCAATTGTCTGAAAATTCTCATTCCTGAATATATATATATATATATATATATATATATATATATATATATATAAAAATAATTGTCCACTCACCTTTGGCCCTCCGCGGGCGGTTATCCCTCTCTAAGCTCGGGTCCTCTACCAGAGGCCAGGGAGCTTGAGGGTTCTGCGCAGTATCTTTGCTGTTCCTAGCACTGCACATTTCTGGACCGAGATGTCCGAGGTTGTTCCGGGGATCCGCTGTAACCACTCATCTAGCTTCGGGGTCACTGCCCCGAGTGCACCGATCACCACGGGCACTACTGTCACCTTTACCCTCCAGGCCCTCTCCAGGGCCTGGAGGGTAAAGGTGACATAATATATATATATATATATATATATATATATATATATATATAAATTGGTGCATCCCTAAAAAATACTTATTTTTGTGCACTTTACTTTTCAAAAAGCCAACATGTGCATTGCTTAAATTTGCATGTTTTTTTGTTTACGTCCATGGCCATGTTTGTGAACAAAGGGATGGAAAATATATATATATATATTTTTTTATCCGATTAATCGATTAATCAAATAATTGTTAGTTGTAGCCCTACACAACAGGAGGCACATTTTGAAGTTTGTACTCAACAGACTCACACGTGAACAATACGTAACTTTTTTTCACACTGACAATAATGAGAACGAGGCAGAATCTGCAACAGAGTCTCAGGATGTTCTGACCCGGTCCAACCAATGTTCCTTATAATTTTTCATGGGTCGGGGCAAAAACACAAACCCCCTTATCTCTGGTGAATGGTGAAAACCATTCACATTTGGATACGCCTTCTGTATAAACCTCCCGTATAACGATCTACTTTAATTCACCCTCTATAAAGATAAGATAATAGTTCCTTTATTAGTCTTTTATGAGTATAAAAGTTGTCTGTCTGTCTTTATAACAACAACTTAAGAAAGAAACGCAAAAGGATACAAAAGATATATACAGTATTTGATCATTTTGACTATATTGGGATTAGGAAACATAAGCCAAAGTGATCAAATAATTATTTGATAATGCTACACTTTTTATATTACAAAGGACAAACTTTTATATATTTTACAAATTACAAATGTTCACCTTTATTACCTGATGCCTGCAATTTTCAGTATGTACAAAACAGAATTCTCTACAATTCAGTTTTGTTAATACGTTTTATATACAATAGCTGTATTGCACATTTTGCTGCCAATAAATCAGTAAATGCAGCTTTTATATGAGGCTTTTTCAAAATTGTCATATCGTGATACATGCTGAGGCCCATATCGCCCAACCCTAGTGAATATTGAACCGAATCATAGAACTAAGCTGATCCCATTTATTTAAGTTACTCCAGCTTCAACTATGATTCGGTTCAATATTCACCTGATCATGATTCAAATTAGGGATGTAAAAAACTATGAGTTTTCATGACCGACCACCGAGCCTCATTAACCGGTTGAAACCGGTTAACCGCGTAGTTTAAAATAGTCCACGTTCTTTGAAATAACAGCCATTTCGAGCCGCGTACTTTTCATAAGTGCAGCTGAGCGTTCTACGGGATCAGAGCCGAGACAGCGGCACCAAAACCCGCAACAGCTTCGGCACCTTTGCGCACAGAGAACTGCTGTTTTAATCTTCCCATTCTTCTGTGCTGCGGCTTAAAGCATTTTTAACCAAAAGACAGCTCGTCCACATGGTCAGGGCAGCGAGTGACGAGCCGCGTCTCGCAGGTCTCCGCTAAAGTTTAAAAGTGATCAGTGTGGAGCTGATGCCAGGGACCAGCAGCACAAACATGGTCCATGTGGTTTGACTGGAGCCGTGTATTTGCAAGAATGCTTTGGGCTCCGTGACACAGAGGAGCGCGACAGACCGGTATGTGTGTATGTACAATACATGTATGTATGTGTGTATATGTCTGTGTGTGTGTATATGTATGTGTGTGTGTGCAATACATGTATGTATGTGTGTATATTTATGTGTGTGTGTGCAATACATGTATGTATGTGTGTATATGTATGTGTGTGTGTGCAATACATGTATGTGTGTATATGTATGTGTGTGTGTGCAATACATGTATGTATGTGTGTATATGTATGTGTGTGTGTGCAATACATGTATGTATGTGTGTATATGTATGTGTGTGTGTGCAATACATGTATGTATGTGTGTGTAAATATAAGCTCCAATGTAGTTCTGACCCGCACCAGTGTGCAACTAGCAGGCGGTAACAGAGGGGAGAGATGATGCGTGTGGATGTTACGTGTCAATGGAGGGGGGGAAATGTGTGTGTGTGTGTGCGTGTACATGTGTGCGTGCATATGTGGCGCGTACGGCGTGAGAGTCAGCCCAGAGTTTACTGTTACATTGGCGCACACAGCTAGATAGGGACCCGCTCGTCACATCGTGCAAATAGGGCTTAAAATAGCGTTATGAAGAGACCTCCCCTCTCCCCTTTTCTCTTTTTTAACCGACAGCTTTGACCGGTTAACGCTGTGACGGTCAACCACCGGTTAAACGGTCACCGATTTACATCCCTGATTCAAATGAGTCTTTTATAGAAGGTGAATTAAAGTAGATCGAGGAATATATTTGGTGAATTGCACTAAAAAATAACAAAATATTCAAAGTGGATTTTGTCTATTCATATTTATTAAAAACTAATTAGTTCATTTATACATAGTACACATGGTTTTATTTAGTCATATGGCATTATAAAATAAAACACATAGACCAATAATTATCTAAGACAATAATAGTCATATTGCCACAAAACCAACTTTACTCAGCAATAGGCAACTTTGTGCTGAACTGGGCAACTTTGTCTGGTCTTATGTGGTCTTCCCTACATAAGTGTGTGTGAGTTAGGTGTGTTTGTGGCTCCACGCACACACTGCAACTGGTGTAGAACTTGTGAGACACCACTCGCAAGTCCGCGGCAAGAACAAGTGCGCGAGTTCACGCTGTGCAGGCTGCAGTTGGTCTGAGCCCAACTGGTACATGTCCTGCCTCTCTGATCATTGTAGTTTCAAGCTCCCACAGACGATATTCCTCGATGCGTCTCTTCTCCTCACACCGTGTTTGTAAAACTGTATATTATAATTAGAATTTTCATGACCGACCACCGAGCCTCATTAACCGGTTGAAACCGGTTAACCGCGTAGTTTAAAATATTCCACGTTCTTTGATATAACAGCCATTTCGAGCCGCGTACTTCAGCAGCTATGCGTTCTAATGGATCGGAGCCGAGACGGCGGCGCCACAACCCGCATCAGCTTCGGCACCTTTACGCACAGAGAACTGCTTTTTTAATCTTCCCATTCTTCTGTGCGGCGGGGTTAAAACTTTTTAGCAGTTTTTAGAATTTTGGGATCTAACAACTTAATCCATTATCAAAATGATTATTAACTCATTAAGTCTCAAATGAAGCTTATTTTAACTGTAGCCGCTATAACCTAATTTTTTGTCCTGTGTTTAGCTGGTGGGGCTGCTGCTGATCGGAGTGGCGGCGTGGGGGAAAGGCTTCGGTCTGGTGTCCAGCATCCACATAATTGGAGGAGTGATCGCAGTGGGCTTTTTCCTGCTGCTCATCTCTATCGTGGGGCTGATTGGAGCCCTCCACCATCACCAAGTTATGCTCTTCTTTGTATCCTTCACCTTGGGATGAGACAATAGTGCCGTTCGGTCATCAATTATTGTAGATTGCTATTGTAAACAATTTCTAAATGACTTGAAATGAACGTCAATTACTTTTAAAACGTAATGTACCACTTTGTCAAAACTTTGTCCCAACAATCTTATAAAAGTAACCCACCTGCACAGAAACATTCTGTCAACATGTCTTCATCTTAAAGATTTTTTGCCATTCTGCTCTGTCAATAAAAATGTTGTAAAATGGCAAATAAATCTGTTGAAAAACAAATTTAGGATTCATGATTAAAGCTGTTCCATCATTAAAATGAGATTGAAATTGATGATTTACATTCATATATTACCAAACCTGAAGTGACACCTTGTTGCAATCATTATTATTATTATGAGCAGCCTGAACACATGATGTAAATACTAAAATAGCAGTAAAATACCATTGTGACAAACTAATGTGACATGGTTCCATTGTGTGACTCAAAATGTGGACAAAGAGCCATACCTACGTTCACCCACACTGATCTGGACTGCTGCCAATACAGCTTTGTGTTTCCTTAAAATATGGGCCAGTACATGGTGATCTTGTTCATTGTATTTCTCTTCCAATTTGGAGTATCTTGTTCGTGTTTGGCCATGAACCGTGGGCAGCAGGTGAGGAGCATGTGCCTGTGCGTGGTTTTTAGTTCTGCACTGTGGTCTCTGTAGTCAGCATGCGTCTCTGTCCTGTCTACAGGAGGCGCTGCTGAGCTCAGCGTGGGGAATCCTGCAGAATAAAACCCGGATAGACCTGGAGACGCAGCTCAACTGTTGTGGCCTCTTCAAGAACTCCAGTCAGTCCTCTTTTGACACGGACTGGGCCAACTGTCCGGCAGTCAGTATCTGTACCTTTTTATAGTCAGTTATTATTAATGTATTATAGTTTTATTCTTTTATATAACAAGCACGTGGATAATAAAACAAACAATAATCATGCATTATGTGAATGTGTTTGTCTCGTGCAGTTGTGTAAAAAGAACAACGATTGTGCCACATGTGGGGGGAAGATGTTGAACCACGCTACAGAAGCCTTGAAAATCCTTGGAGGAGTGGGACTGTTCTTTAGCTTCACAGAGGTCAGTCATAGAATACAGGCAGGAACAAGCTTCCCAATGCAGGGACGAGAATTTTCCATGGATCCCCAGAATTACGCTGCAAATGTCTTTTTTGTGAAATGTATAAATCCGATGAGAAATGTCCAAGAACGAAGAGCGTGCGTGTGACCGCGGAAAAGGTGATTTCCGTCCCTCATTTTCGGTAGTTGAAGACAATTTGCAACCCGCGCTTGTCGCTGTTTGTCTGTGCCACAAATTGTCGGAAACGGACTGACGTATGTGGAGTTTCAGAGTATGTGCTAATGCCCCTAATTAGCATATGAATGCAGCAAAACCGCGCTGCTGGCCAGGCTACTGTGATTTCCGTCACTATGCGGCTCGAATATCCTTACCCAGTATTAGATGAAACTACTACTTTCAAACAAGTAAAATCACTCGTGATTGGTTGACAGATCTGTCACTATTGGTCACGCTGCCTCATAGGGGTGGGTACCTCACGATACGATACGATACGCGATACAAAGCTCACGATAACGATTAGATCACAATATGACGATTTTCGATATATTGGTCAGAAATATAATGTTATAGAAATCTTTTAGTAAAGCAATCTGAATAAACACGAAATAGTTATAAGAGTAAGTTAATAACTAATTCTCCACTCTGTATTCAAATACAGCACATATTGGCATAAATAAAAGAAAAATGTTAAGTGAAAAAATACACTTTATTTCATGATAAATGGAATGATGGAAGTTTGTTTCCGTCCTGTAAAAAAAAAACCTACAGAGTCATAATTTTAAGTTTTAAAGTCAAAATTACAACTTTAAAACTCGAAATTACGACTTTAAAACAGTGCATGTGCAGTTGCTGCCCTTTATGTATTGTTGTCTAGTACGGTCTCTGGACATCCCTTACCTGCAGGTTACAGTGCATTGCGAAAGTATTCGGCCCCCTTGAACCTTTCAACATTTCGCCACATTTCAGGCTTCAAACATAAAGATATAAAATTTTAATTTTTTGTCATGAATCTACAACAAGTGGGACACAATCGTGAAGTGGAACAAAATTTATTGGATAATTTAAACTTTTTTTAAGAAATAAAAAACTGAAAAGTGGGGCGTGCAATATTATTCGGCCCCTTTACTTTCAGTGCAGCAAACTCACTCCAGAAGTTCAGTGAGGATCTTTGAATGATCCAATGTTGTCCTAAATGACTGATGATGATAAATAGAATGCACCTGTGTGTAATCAAGTCTCCGTATAAATGCAACTGCTCTTTGATAGTCTCAGGGTTCTGTTTAAAGCGCACGGAGAACCATGAAGACAAAGGAACACGCCAGGCAGGTCCAAGATACTGTTGTGGAGAAGTTTAAAGCCGGATTTGGATACAAAAAGATTTCCCAAGCTTTAAACATCTCAAGGAGCACTGTGCAAGCAATTATATTGAAATGGAAGGAGTATCAGACCACTGCAAATCTACCAAGACCCGGCCGTCCCTCCAAACTTTCATCTCAAACAAGGAGAAGACTGATCAGAGATGCAGCCAAGAGGCCCATGATCACTCTGGATGAACTGCAGATAACTACAGCTGATGTGGGAGAGTCTGTCCATAGGACAACAATCAGTCGTGCACTGCACAAATCTGGCCTTTATGGAAGAGTGGCAAGAAGAAAGCCATTTCTCAAAGATATCCATAAAAAGTCTTGTTTAGAGTTTGCCACAAGCCACCTGGGAGACACACCAAACATGTGGAAGAAAGTGCTCTGGTATCCAAAACATAAAGCCAAATCTACAATGTAATGGTTCACAAATAGACGTATCCAGGTGTTAGAATGGCCAAGTCATTATCGGGCTTCCATAGAATGGAGATGCGTAATGTAGGCCTTCCTGACCTTGAGAATCTGTGGAAAGAGCTGAAGACTGCTGTTCACAAACGCTCTCCATCCAACCTCACTGAGCTCGAGCTGTTTTGCAAGGAAGAATGGGCAAGAATTCCAGTCTCTCGATGTGCAAAACTGATGGAGACATACCCCAAGCGACTTGCAGCTGTAATTGCAGCAAAAGGTGGCGCTACAAAGTATTAGCGCAAGGGGGCCGAATAATATTGCACGCCCCACTGTTCAGTTTTTTATTTGTTAAAGTTTAAATTATCCAATAAATTTTGTTCCACTTCACGATTGTGTCCCACTTGTTGTTGATTCTTGACAAAAAATTAAATTATATATCTTTATGTTTGAAGCCTGAAATGTGGCGAAATGTTGAAAGGTTCAAGGGGGCCGAATACTTTCGCAATGCACTGTATGTTGAAGATATTGCCTACAGTGAACAACGCATCCATGAAGTGGCCTGCAGTAATGTTGGGGCATTGATTCTGTAAAACTTTCCTGTTTAAGCCCCCGGACCGTGGTCGTAGGACGCAGGGGGAGCTGTCTTTTTATTTATTTATTTTAAATTCATTTTAAATATATACAATATTTACATCAAAAGACTTCTCCCAAAAAGTAAGTGAGTTACTAACGGAGTTACTCCACTATAAAAGTAACTAGTTACCAGTGAAAGTAACTATTGCGTTACGTTTTTATTTCGTTCTGGAACATAATGTGCACTCGACGTGCACATTTTTACCTTTAACCTCAGTGAGTTTGAAATATTGCCGATATTTCCATCTGTAAAAGGCTGTTTTGCTGCTGGAGTCCTCCTCACTCTTCATCTCTCTCTCTGCTGTGAACACTGAACACAAACACCCGCCACTGTGAATGTGGAAACACCAGTGACGGGCGGCACGGTGGCTGAGTGGACAGCACTCTCGCCTCTCAGCAAGAAGGTCCTGGGTTCGAATCCCGGTCGGACCAGGGCCTTTCTGAGTGGAGTTTGCATGTTCTCCCCGTGTCTGCGTAGGTTTCCTCCGGGTCCTCCGGTTTCCCCTACCACTAAAAATATGTCCAATAGTTCTGGCATGCGCCTCCTGTACCCCGTTCCCATCTCTGTGTGGAGTGAGAGACAAATGCCCATAATTAACAATTGTAAACCGCTTTGAGACTCAGATTTGCAGTGAAAAGGCGGTATATAAATAAAAACTTACTTACTTACTTACAAGCGGTGAGGTTGGTGAAGCACTGACTTCATAGCCTGACTCTCGCCCGACCCATGTAGTTTGTTGCACTTCACACATGAGTCTGGTACTGAACCATAGTGGTTGGATTTCAGAAGGCAGGGCCTTGTAAAAAAAATCCTTGTATGTGATTGGATAGACCACTTGTCCGTTATCTTGAATGAAGTCTGCTTTCAACCACTCACATCAAAGCACACGGCTCCCATAGGTTGCCAAATCCCAGCAAGTTTTTCCAACCCAAAATCCGCGAAAATTCTCACAAAAAAACACTCAGAATTATTTTTTGGCTAAAAACGTAATATAATCAACTTGGGTTATCGTGATTCTGTTTATTATCTGTTTATTTAATACCTACAAGTCTTTGGTGGAACCACCAAACCTGGCAACCCTGCTGCATAGTGTGTAAACAGGAACCCTGAACCAGTGCTTCAACCAAACTTTACAGGAACATTGGACTCTTAAAACACACATATATCAACATAGAACCATCAACATCTCGCCTCAAATTGCATTAATAGTGACATCCGTGTCTTAATTCGATCGTATTTACTCTTTTAAAAAGATTCGCGGACTTTACGTTCGCCATCTTGGATTCCTCTCGCTGCTGCATGAGAGAAGCTTGAGAAGACGGTACAAACCCCACGTAACACCGGCAATCCTGATTGGTTGATTAAAAAATAATCTTGGGAAGGCGTTCGCTATGGCGTCGATACCACACCCATGTGGTTCAGCCAAACGCCTCTGTTGGAGCATGGCGGAACTACAAGGGTCTGGCAGAGCCAGGCTACTGACTTCAGCCCAATCAGATGAACGTATATATCATATAAATCAACACGACCTATAGAGCGGCTTATTCACACTTTGTTTGGCTACAGCAGAATATGTTTCATGCCCGCATTGTTTGCTAATACAAAACGCTATGAAAAAACACATTTAAAAGTGTGTTATGCTTCTTACCATATAAATGACCCGCACAGACCACTTCGGTTCAGACCAGTTCCATGTTTAAGTCCAGATAATAGTTTGAGCGTAGATATGTAATCCTCCATTTGGAAATAAGTCCAATGAGTTTTAAAAGGTAAAACTGGTCCTCCACAAACTTCTGATTTGCTAGCTGCAGTCGACTCTCTGGTGCATCCAATTTCTAAAATCAACCTTCTTACACTTCACCTCTTTCTTATCATTCCTATCGTCATTGAAACATTACCCTATGTGCCTTTTTAAATCATCTTAAAATGTGTTCTCTGAATGTTAGCCAAACCTGTTGCTGCCCTTAGCAGATGAACCAGAAAGAGAAAGGAGCTTTCTGATGGAATTGTATGCAGACTCACGTGCCCTCCCCTGAGGCTGAACTTGACTTGGTGATACAAGCTGTGCGTTGAGCGCGAGTTAAAACTCATGTTTGTTTCAAAAACACAATTTATGACCATCCTCTCAACTGTAGACATGTAGATTGTAAAGGAAATGTTTTGCATCAGCCAATAATTGCTAAGAGGTTATCTCATCCTCCCTTCTCTCAGGACAACACGCGCACGAGTCCTATCATGAAGTTTAAAAAAAAGTCCATTGTGCGACTTGAGTAACGTGCAGTAACAGGGTGTCGGCAATAACAGCGTTATAGTTACAGTCAAAGTAATTAGATTACTCGTTACTGAAAAAAGTAACGCCGTTAGTAACGCTGTAATTCCCATCACTGGTGATAAATAATGTGAGCAATATGTTCTAATAATACATCAAAGGAAAATGAGCCATTGAGACATTTCAAACACTCTTACCAGACGATGACGCTGAGAGGGGTCCACACAGAGCGAGTCTTTCCACGGTTGAAAGGATGAGCTTTCTACGTGTTGTGTACGGGGTTTTATTCATGCATCTATAATGGGGTTTAACTCCCTTTTCAATGACCCTCACTGTTAACTACGGAGTTATTTTTCCGGATGGTTGCTCAAAGAGTCGTGGGCTTTATTTTGTCACAATAAAATAATCAGACAAGGCACTTACTCCCTAAATTTCTCTGGTTCCTACCCACACGCCAACAACTTCACCCACACGCTAGCTCCATCAGCTCACTCCAGAGCTCGCTCACGTTTCGACCGCACGCACGCACACACTCACGTCACATACTCTTCAATGCACTGATTGCAATTCCAAAAGGTTTAATATTGTCACGGCCCGTGACTGTGGTTCAGGTTCACCTGCCTCTCTCTGCGGACCTCCCTCACTGTCCAGTAATTGCGAACAGTCTCTCTGTCAGTAACAATATTATTCACTGCATTTCTGGTGCATCCATCGATAGCCATGATACTGACCAGATGTCACAAGTTGATGCTCAATGAATGTGACCACTTCATATGTTTTATTATTAATCTTCCACAGTCCATTTAGGATAAATTAAATAGAGGCTCCTTGAGCGGATTCTAATCATAAACGGAAAGACCGTTTGCATTTTAACGTAATCACTGCCCCAACATTATTGCTGGCTATTTCTTGGATGCAGTGGTCACTGTAGCCAATATCTTCAACATAACCTGCAGGTAAGGGATGTCCAGAGACCATTCCAAACAACAATACATATGGGGCAGCAACTGCACATGCACAATTTAAAACTCGTAATTTCAAGTTTTAACTCGACTTTCTGTAGGTTTTTTTTTTTACATGGCGGAAATGGGCTTCCATAGAATGGAGATGCGTAATGTAGGCATATATTAAGTATTGATACTAATAAAAAAAAAAATGTATAATTTATTTTTTATTTTTTTATCGATACTTGGCAAAAGCATATTGATAATCGATTGCGTGAGAAAGTATCACGATACATCACGATATCGATATATCGTCACACTCGTACTGCCTCATTAATGTAAACCCCATTAATAATATATAAACTATACAACTTAGAAGTCTGAAACTTTAGACAGGTGTTGCCAACAACACACATATATATATAATTTACTGTAATGTACTGATAAACATTAGACTTTCATATATTTTAGATTCATATATTCAGTGGGGCAAAAAAGTATTTAGTCAGCCACCGATAGTGCAAGTTCTTCCACTTAAAATAATGACAGAGTTCGGTAATATTCATCATAGGTACACTTCAACTGAGGGACAGAATATGAAAAAATATCCAGGAATTCACATTGTAGGATTTTTAAAGAATTTATTTGTAAATTATGGTGGAAAATAAGTATTTGGTCACTTCAAACAAGGAAGATCTCTGGCTCTCACAGACCTGTAACTTCTTCTTTAAGAAGCTCTTTTGTCCTCCACTCATTACCTGTATTAATGGCACCTGTTTGAACTCGTTATCTGTATAAAAGACACCTGTCCACAGCCTCAAACAGTCAGACTCCAAACTCCACTATGGCCAAGACCAAAGAGCTGTCGAAGGACACCAGGAAAAGAATTGTAGACCTGCACCAGACTGGGAAGAGTGAATCTACAATAGGCAATGAGCTTGGTGTGAACAAATCAACTGTGGGAGCAATAATCAGAAAATGGAATCCCTCGATCTGGGGCTCCACGCAAACCCGTGGGGTCAAAATGATCATGAGATGATCAAAAATCCTGGTGGGGGGACCTGGTGAATGACCTGCAGAAAGCTGGGACCAAAGTAACAAAGGTTACCATCATTAACACACTATGACGACAGGGAATCAAATCCTGCAGTGCCAGACGTGTCCCCCTGCTAAAGCCAGTGCATGTCCAGGCCCGTTTGAAGTTTGCCAGAGAGCACATGGATGATCCAGCAGAAGATTGGGAGAATGTCATGTGGTCAGATGAAACCAAAGTGGAACTGTTTGGTATAAACTCAAGTCGTCGTGTTTGGAGGAAGAAGAATACTTGCATCCCAAGAACACCATACCTATTGTGAAGCATGGGGGTGGAAACGTCATGCTTTGGGGCTGTTTTACTGCTAAGGGGACAGGACGACTGATCCGTGTGAAGGAAAGAATGAATGGGGCCATGTATCGTGAGATTTTGAGCCAAAAAATCCTTCCATCAGTTAGAGCTTTGAAGATGAAACGTGGCTGGGTCTTCCATCATGACAATGATCCCAAACACACCGCCCGGGCAACGAAGGAGTGGCTCCGTAAGAAGCATTTAAAAGTCCTGGAGTGGCCTAGCCAGTCTCCAGACCTCAACCCCATTGAAAATCTGTGGAGGGAGTTGAAAGTCCGTGTTGCTCCGCGACAGCCCCAAAACATCACTGCTCTCGAAGATCTGCATGGAGGATTGGGCCAAAATACCAGCTACTGTGTGTGCAAACCTGGTAAAGACCTATAGTAATCGTTTGACCTCTGTTATTGGCAACAGAGGTTATATTACAAATAGGGCTGTCAAAATGATTGCGTTAATTAACGTTAATTACCGTTATCATTAACGCTTAAAAAAATAATTAATGTCCACATGTCCGAATGACCCGCCCATTTATAATAATATCACTCAGAATGCCGCGGACATGTGCGTGTGTGATGGTGACAGCGGTAACGTGGTCATATAATACACGCATATATATATATATACGCACAGGGGCCATTCTCTGATGTTGTGTGACACATGGAGGAGAGGAGGAGACACGCTGAAATGCAACCAAATTCGCAAAATTAAAGCTGGGGTACCTACATTTTCCCTTTCATTAACAGCTCTTGTTGGCTGTACCCAAAAGTAGAAGGTTGTGAGCAAGTCAAACAGATTGAAGTACATTTGGTATGAATAACAATGTGTCATTACATTTGAAAATCTCATTTAACTTCAATTGGAGTGGATTTGAAATAGAATGTTAAAAATGTGATTAATCGTGAGTTAACTCACCATTACTATGCCATTAATCAACAAAAAAAAATAATCGTTTGACAGCCCTAATTACAAAGTATTGAGTTGAATTTTTGTTATTGACCAAATACTTATTTTCCACCATAATTTACTAATAAATTCTTTAAAAATCATACAATGTGAATTCCTGGATTTTTTTTTCACATTCTGTCTCTCACAGTTAAAGTGTACCTATGATGAAAATTACAGACCTCTGTCATTATTTTAAGTGGGAGAACTTGCACAATCGGTGGCTGACTAAATACTTTTTTGCCTCACTCTATATGAATCCTAATATACTGCTTGTGCTCTTTGACAGATCCTGGGAGTGTGGCTTGCTGTGCGCTACAGGAACCAAAAAGACCCTCGTGCCAACCCCAGCGCGTTCCTATAGTCCCCCCGCCTTGTTCTCCCACCATCTACACTGGTCGCACACTTTCTCCAACTCAATCCTGAGCCAACGCAACTTTGTACAAAACTGCAAAAACACATGTGGAAGCAGAGGAGAGGTACTTCTGCATGAAAGGGAAATACACGTGGTACAAAGAGCTACCTGGATTTGAGTATCAGCTTCCTTGTTAGCTTCAAGTCCTAGCATGTGTGGAGAAAGGGCCTATTATGCTAAGTCCATTGTTTTGAACACTATTTCATAACATGTAGCTTATTTCCAGTGGTCTTGTATATTTGACTCTAAAGAGCTGTTCTGTATGAAGGCCCTCTGTTTTTAAAGTAAGGTTGCAACGTGTTTTCAGTAGTTGGCAAATATAAATGCTGGTGGGGTCATTAAATGTCACATAATTTCTCAAATATTAGTTCAAAACTACAGGGACTTCATGGAGACATGAAAAATTTACATTTTTGACAATGTTACAATATTCATGTTTTTAGCGCCGAAACAATAGGCACAAACATGCCTCCCGACCCTTTCATCTAAATTGCCTGTTTTAACACTATACACCATTACGAATACTCAGGCTGTGACAGTGCTTTTCAAATAGTGGACACCACAAATAGTGTGACCCTGGGGGACATTTTTTTATTTCCCGTTCTTGAATAATGTGTAATTGCACATCCACTACAGTACTTGACAGTGGTGCTCTTGAGACTATGGTAGAGGCGGGAGGCAAATATTTTCCTTCTACCTAAAGGGGGCCTGGCAGAAAATAATTGCGAAGCACTGGGCTATGACATTGTTTTACCAGGCAGAAAACTGCAGTCAACAAAGTATTCCAAAATTGTTTTGGAAAGTATATTCCTTACAAGTGTGTGTTTTCAATTGGCCCACACCATCTTGGTATTACCATCCAAATAAATCATCCAAATAATATCCTTACATAAGTAAATTGTTCAAAGTCATGTTCATATTTGTTCAACAGATATTTGCTAAGTACATCATTAGCTTACCCAATCAATACTAACAGCTGGTGTTTTTTTGCATTTATAATTATGTTCAGCAAATGTCAACTCCAAAAAAAAAGTGGTAGTATAAATGACACATTTAAGCAGAGGGGCTGAATAAACTTGAGCCTTGACCCAGAGATTTTATCTCCTCACAGCCCCATAGTTTTTACAGGAGTTGCCATCTTTCTAATAAAATGTTGCGACCTTATTTTAAAACCCATTCATGAGACTTCTTTACTCAATGGTCAAAGATGTGACTTTTCAACCAAACACATAGTCACATTTACTATGGACACAATAGCATAATTTAGCATCCTAAAGCCTTGTCACGTCCCCTCAGTACCATGTTTCATTCAGGGCGAGAATAACTGGAGACACATTTTTGTTTGCTTTTTTTAAGTAACGTGCTAAAGACCTCAACCTCTGCTCATGTGGTCCCCGATAGAATATAATAACTGTACTGTCCATCATGTATGCCATTGAAGAGGCTAGATTAGCAAAGGCGAGAATTGAAGATTCAATTTTGTAATCACATTTTGCAAAATCCCTGTACCTGATTTTTATTTGTTATAGTTCAAGAAAATATAGAAAAGAATAGTAGCAGCATAATAGATAAATAACAATAACATAAAGCAATAGGGCACATAGAACTTTGCTAATCAGGCCTTTGCTAGCCTTTGGGCTGCGGCCTATCCTGATTACCTCAGTCCCCTCACTGTGTTAGTGGCCACTGTAGAAATCCATCTGGCTTCTCAAGTTGGGCACTGATTGAACTTTGTGCACCTCGGTTCAAGTAAGATTTGCGACGCTTCACAAACTCTTTCCTGAATGAAGAGCCAGGTTTGTCCGTTTCTGCTCATGACGGTTACCAATGAGGGGCTCACTGAAGCAATGAACATTGTCTGAATGATCCTAAATATCCATCCTAAATTTATCCAGATAAATAGATCTGTGTACAGGCTTACACTGCAAGAGGGCTCACAAAAATGTTCACTTTTGGCTTTATAAAGCGAGAGAAAGTATTTTACTGTTTTGTACATGCTTGGCTATTTTATACAGTTTAAAACTATATTGCTAAAATGTGGCTGGTGTCAAATATCATGCTAAATCATGGTTTCTTTCAGAGGCACTTTATGTCCATCAGGTACAGGGGTTTTCCATGTAACTGAGCCATTCGTCTTACATTACAGAGAATACATATGCCAAATGACTGCTGTTGTGTAAATACAGCTTCACTCAAGTCACGTTAGTATATGGTTCTAATTTTTAGCAGAAAGTTGTGGTCATTCCTACTACCACTATTGTTTTCAGTGTTGTGGCTTGGTTTAGATACAGGATTTTTTAACAATGTTTTGGGAAGAATTCTGACAGAAGAGAAACTTTATTTTCAAGAGTGTTAAAATGTGTTTCATTTGCTGTATTTTGTTTTACTTACACAATAGAGGTTGACAAAAGTAATGCATCACAATAATTTAATTAATTCTTTTATTTAATTTACAGTTAAATAATTATTGTTGCGTCAAAATCTTATGCTCAATTTATGATGCACTTAGCAAGCTTTTCTGGGAGGGGTCTTTTTTAAGTTGGACCATCCATGCTAATATTAATATTATTGGGCTTTTTCATTTCAAGAGAATTTAAGATTTTCCCTTGCAAACATTCCCGCTTTCTGTCTGAATGCTCCTATCTCAAACGTTTTAAGCTATAAATTTCTCCATTGTGAGATCAATAAAGTTTTATCTGATGATGAATCCTACGACCATGACATAATGGGAAGAGCTGACTAGCTACTAGTAATTTAGAAACCAAAAAGGAAGTTCTTAGTCCTGTGTAAATCCTTCAAAATCATGAAATTACCAAAAAATAAATATTCTCAAGATCATGTTTAAGATCAAATCGAACAGAAATAATGTAGAATATTTTTTTGATGCACACGTAGCTTTGCCATATATGAAAACCTATAGCTCCCCATAAAGTTCCACTGTGCACTTTTCAAATCCTGTTTATATTTTCCATAATTTTTGCTCTGCCGTGTTATGTAATAATGCTCCTTTCCTATCAACAGTGTTAAATACTTTGTAAATTATGTTTGGATCTATTTAACTTAATATGTAAAATACGTTTTGTTCTCGTTATGACTTTTGCCTGGTGACTTTTTTGTTGTGTTTTGAGATGATTTTAACTTGAACTAGCCATTTTTACATGAAGTGGTTGCCTCTCTGCAGATCTTCTACCCATATGTCTGTCACCTCTGATTTCAATTTTCCACACTTGGTTTTGCAAATAAAACTCTTGATTGAAACCAGGACATTGGCCTCACTGTTATTTTCATGTGTTTATCACTTGGAATCATGTGTACAATATTAATGTTTTTCTTTGATTTAGTCTTTAATCACAACAGCGGTCGTCTTGGAGGACCTACAAAATGATTTGTTCACCAAACAAGAGATTAGAATATCTTTTGACACAGGAAACACACTGATGACAGCAGCCATCGGTCCATTGGGAGTGGGATGACCAGTGTTCATACATGTCCGTAAATGTCCCGGTTCATGTATGAATATGTTAAAAGAAAGATTTAAGGCTGCGGCCACCTGCACAGCCTAACGCCCGGTTAAAGTGTGCCTGGACCCACTTGGAGGTTCGAGCTTTAGGTGCTATGTGACCGCTGTAACTGGGCTTAGGCACGGTTGTAAAACCCAGATGAGGAGTGGGGGGGTCCGTGTAGCGGGGGATGAGTTGTCGTGGGGACTTCATATTGCGCGTCACATTACATCTTCCTTTGTGACGCGCATTTTCACACACGTATCTCCTGCACTTACGTATTCTCCGCTTGTGTTAAACCTTTCATATAAGCCCCCAGATCGTGGTTGAGGGGCGCAGGGGAGTGTGTCCTACGGGAATAACTCCCTTCTGTCCTCCTGACCCTCGCTCACACAGTGTGGTGCTAATTAAATAACACTCAAGACGTTCAAGAATCAGTCTTTATTTAATCGCCAAAACACACCAACACACACTTGTATCCTGCCTGACTCAGGTCGCTCTGATCGTATGCCAAACTTTTCATTCGCATTCATTCATTTCTCAGGCTCGTTACTAAAGAGGCGCGCTCCCGGGTCCGTGGCACACACACGCGTTACCCACTGAACTGCTTCACTTTGCATCAAAGCAATGTGGACAAGTGGGAGATTTGTCTTCCCCCAAACAACGCGATTCGTACTTGAGCTGTTAGCGCTACAGTAGCAGAATGTAAACAGGAAGTTAGTATTAGCGCCACCAGCTGTACCGAGCATTGTACTACAGCACATTTGGTCTTGCTCACTTGAGAGAATAAACTCTTGTGACAAATGCTGGGCCAGGTTTTCTGTATCACTTTTTGGAAGGATTTTCTATGTTTCGTAGTTCGATGTAAGTGTTGTAAGTTGCTTAGTTTACATCTACTCTGTCAAAGACCGGTAAAGCTGTGTGTCATCCGTGCAACAGTGGAAGTTAATGTCATGCTGACTAATGGCAGTGTCACTCTCGTATGGTCAGCACCAGATCATATACGGCAGGGGTCACCAAATGGCGGACCGCGGTCCAGGTCCGGACCCCGAGACCCTTTTATCTGGACCTCCGTGTTTTTTTTTGTACAAAAGTATATTATTACAATTATGTTTCACCAAAAGCGATTTGTAAACAGGCAGGCGCAAGGGCGGCAATGTGGGGTCCTTCGAGAAAACTTTACGGAGCTGTGAAAATAACTTTAGCAGTGTCTCCGAGTGAGAGTCAGAGACGTGAAAGAGACGGGAATGAGCCATGGGCGCTGTGTACGGAGCGATAGCGAACTATCTAAATGACGTCACTAAGACACGCCCCCGCCGCCTGTCAACTCCCGCCCACATGTTTCGGACAAACACTGCCGAAATGAATCAAATACCACTTGTTCCACCATCAAACCATCAGGGATCATAGTATAGACCAATTAAAACGTTGGCTTGAATGTCGTGGTCTGTAACTGGTAGAACATTTGAGTTGATAAAAAGGTAATGGTGAGGATTATGCTAACATTATCTTGTCATTTAAATTGCAATGCTAGCGCCTTCTTTGTTTATTTTGCTGTGATTAACTTTCATTTATCAAGTTTTTTTGCACTATCCACCCTGTAATAAGTTTGATCATTAGTTAGCTACTGTCAGCTGATATTATAATAGATCCATGGGGTCACAACGGGCTACGCCACTACTGTCTCTGAGAGAGAAACTATCGGAGCCACACTCAATAAACGCAAAAGACAATCAATCGACACATGTAAATGTTAATGGGAGAATATATTATACACACATTCGTAACACAAGTGCACGGAGGTTTTCAGAATTATCTGTTATGGTTTTCATGACAAAAATACTTTTTTAATGCGACTAAAGCGATCGCTTTTTTGAAGTAGGTTAGCTATCCTCACTGTTACTCGCCTGCCACGGGAAAACCTTTGGGAACTATTTTCTTTGCAGTCATTAAATAAACCTTTCGGCATTAATAAAAGTGAATGAAGTTGTTTTTTGTGTGTTCAGTTGGTACAAAGCGTATAATAAGCGGACCCCGACACTCTTCGTCTGTACTTATTTTCCGATAGTCACAAAGTTGAAAAAATCCCTCCTCTTTCTTCAGGTGTGAGAATTGTAAACTTTCTGGATTAGGACAAACAATGCTTACATGGATTGATGGGGTAAATGGTATAAAGAGAAAGTTTGTGCTAACTACATTCAGAAGAGCTCAGACGGACCTGATACAGCGGTCCAGACGGTCCAGGTCCAGTCCCAGCTAAACGTAGCTAGGACTGGATCTGGATACTCAGACCAGCTTCACAGACGAAGTGTTTTGAACAAATATGAGTCCTTTTTAACATTTTCATGAGAGAAATTCTGCCGACCACAAGCACCCACCTCTTGTACTTGTCCTTGTCCTGGTCTGGTCCTAGTCTGATCTGGTCCTGGTCTGGTCCAATGGTGTGGTTTAACGAACGGGTTGAATGTTACTACTTTCATATAGTCCTTTTCAGAGTATCTGAAATTGCTCCGACAAGCACCATAACTGCAGTGTTTTGTAGTCACCATGATGTTTGTGTCTAGTGCAGAACGGTAGAGAAGGAATGCGGAGACACGAGTTAAGTATAAGGTGCTTTATCAAACTGCCCAAGACTGCGGCACCGAGGCCGTATATGAGACACACGCGCATGCGCCCTGGCGGTGCTTATGATAGGATGACAGAATACATAAAGCACTAGACTCTGTAACATCTTCCTTTTCCAAAACAGCTCAAGAATGCTATAACAAAATTCCTAAAGTTGCCTGGTATAAACATAACATGGCAGTAAACAACAAACAACATTTTTAAAACTAACCAATGCAACTAAAATAAAACAGAGGAACCATATGAAATATAAACTATTATAATACCGGTTACCAGTCTATTCTTTTAGGTGGCCTTGAAAGGCGCCCTGCCCTGGTGCGTACCAACCCCTCCCCTACACCTACAGTAACAGTGGAGGCTACAGGCGTGTGAGTAGCTGGTGAGGCCTCTACTACGGGCCTAGCAGGGCTTGAACCGGCAATAGTAGGATAAGCCCCCATCTCCCTTACTTCTGAACTGACAGTAGGTACACACTCACTGTCCCCAAATCCCAGAGCAGCCCCCGATTCTGCCACTCTAAGATCCACTCTGTTGCGGCGATAAACAGAACCGTCCATGTCCACAAGGTAAGACCGAGGCGCGACCTTGCCAAGACAGGTTCCAGCTCTCCATATGCGGGAGGTGTCGCCAGGAGGAGGCTTCATTCTGACAGTCTCTCCTACCTCCAGCTCCGGTAGGACCCGCGCTGACCGGTCGTAGAACGACTTGGCGAGCTGCCTCCTGTATTGAAGCTTCTCAGTAACTCCTGTCACCACCACCGGCTCAAGGAGTTTGTTGGTCACAGGAATGGATGTCTTAAGGCGACGGCACATGAGACGTTGCGCTGGGCTGCTGTCCATGTTTTCTGTCGGAGTATTGCGCCAGTGCAACACTGCTTTCCAAGGGTCGTTTCCATCCCGAGCTGCCTTGCGAAGCAGATTCTTTGCAATCTTGATGGCAGATTCAGCCTTACTATTTGCTTTGGGATACCTTGGAGAGGATGTCACATGCTCAAATTCCCACTCTGAGGCGAAACGAGCAAATGCGGAAGTAAACTGAGGGCCATTGTCTGTGATGACCCTGTCCGGCTGGCCATGTCTTGCAAACTGAGCCTTACAGCGCTTGATCACAGTCTCTGCTGAAAGATCAGGGAGGAGCTCAATCTCCCAAAAGTCAGAATAGTGATCTACAATGAGCAGGTATTCCTTGCGCCCGTGAGCAAAGAGATCCATGCTGACTATTTGCCATGGCCTTGTTGGGAGTGGATGTGAGAGCATAGTCTCTTTCTGCTGGCCATGTGCGTACTCATTGCATGTAGTGCAAGTGCTGACAAAGTCTTTGATCTCTGACTGCATGTTCGGCCAGAACAATGTCTCCCGAGCTTGCCTGTAACATGCTTCTCCCCCAATATGGCTAGCATGAATGCGTGCCAACATCTCTGTACGGAGTGATTTGGGAATAACCACTCTCTGACCCCTGAATAAGATGCCATTCTGAGCACTGATCTCATCACGATAGGGCCAGTATCCTCTAATAATGACGGGCACCTGCTCTTTGAGATCCGGCCAGCCTGTGGTGACTGTGTACCTCAATGCCTGCAGACCCTCATCATTGTCTGTGTGTCGCCTGATTTGTTCCAGGCGTTGGCCCGTTACGTTCAGGTAATCTGCTTGGTTCACCTGTTGCAGGTCCTCCTGGACCTCCTGCAGAAAACAGATAGCATGTCGCTGGTAGTAGTTAGCATTGCTGGCACAGGCCGCTGTTGCCCGACTGAGTGTATCGCTGATAAACATTTCCTGTCCCGGTTTGTATACTACACAGAGACTGTAGCTTTGAAGAGTCATGAGCATGCCCTGAAGCCTTTTTGGAGCGCTGAGGAGAGGCTTGCCGAAAATTGAAATTAAGGGCTTGTGGTCTGTTTCTGCTGTGATAGCGTCACGGCCATACAAATAGTAGTGGAATCTCTGACATGCAAAGACAATGCTGAGACATTCTTTTTCAATCTGTGCGTAATTCCGCTCAGTAGCGGTGAGAGCTCGTGAAGCGAATGCAACAGGCTGTCCCTCTTGCATGAGACAGCAGCCAAGCCCGCTCTGACTCGCGTCACTCTGGATTGTGACAGGCTGGGACACATCATAATATCGCAGTACTGGCACAGTTGTAGCTAAAGACTTAAGTTCTTGTATGGCAGCTTCATGTTTTGGCAGCCAATGCCAAGGAGTGTCCTTGTCTAGCAAACGTCGCAGAGGCTCACAGACACTTGAAAGGTGGGGCATGAACTTGGCCAGATAGTTTGCAAACCCCACCAGCCTCTGTACTCCTTTTGCATCGGTAGGATTTGGCATATCGATTATCGCCCTCACCTTTTCCGGATCGGGTTTAAGACCTGCAGCTGAGAGAATGTGGCCATGAAAACGGACTTCGGACATCTTGAATTGAAGCTTTTTTAGTCCAAGCCTCAGCTTAACTTCTCTGCAGCGATTTAGCAGAGCCAGAAGTTTGGTGTCATGGTCGGATTCTGCTTCCTCGTCCGTATCACCGCAGCCCACCACCAGAATGTCGTCAGCAATGGGCTCGATGCCTTCCAGACCTGCCAGTAGCTCATGCTGCTTTCTTTGATACACTTCCGGTGCTACAGACACACCAAAAGGCAGTTTTAGCCAGCGTTTTCTACCCCATGGTGTCCAAAAGGTAGTCATGAAACTGCTCTCTGTGTCTAGCTTACACTGCAAAAAGGCATCTCTGGCATCGACCAACGTGAAGGTCCTTGCTTTGGGCAGCTTGTATAATACATCTTCCAGAGTCGGCATTATGTAGTGGGAGCGCCGTAGAGCCTTGTTCAGAAACTTGGGATCAAGACAAATTCTCAGTTTTTGTGGTCTGCTCACAATGACCATGTTACTGATCCAGTCTGTTGGCTCTGTGACAGGTGCAACATGCCCCTCTGCTTCATATTTGTCAAGCTGGGCCTTAACTGCAGTTTTCAGAGCAATGGGGACATTGCGGGGAGCACTTTGTACTGGCTTCACGTCCAGATCTAGATCGAAATGTACTTCGCCAGGTAATGCCTCCACGGGTGAAGTAAACACATCGTTGTAATTGCTGACCACAGTGTCTTTGGTCAAATGTCCTGCTCGCACCACAGTGTCCACCTTGAGTGCATCTTCCGGAATAGTGAAACGTATGAAACCAAGACGTTCACAGGTATCGCCTGACAGGAGAGGCAACTGACCCTTTCTTACTATCTCAAAGGAGAGCTTGTGCTTAATGCCTTGGATCGTGCATTCTGTGTCAAAAACTCCCAATGACTTTATTATCTCCCCCGAGTACAGTCTGAGGCTGGCATTACTTTGGCGTAGTTTTCCTTTGGATGAGAGCTTTTTCTTATCTTTCAGTGTCATTATGTTGCAGGTGGCTCCCGAGTCAAGCTGGCACCTCTGTGATTTGCTGTTGAACTTTAGTGTGACGAACCATTTTTTCCCTTTAGTCAGTCAGTGCAGTGGGACAGTGCACTGACTGACTCAATCATGTACAGATGTGTCTCCTCCTCACTGCTCTGCCCTGACTCAGCTTCCCCGTCCATGCAGAGCACCTTGCCCGTGGTACTGCCCCGTTTGCTTTTCATACAGACTTTAGCAAAGTGATTATTAGTCCCACACAATTTACATTTCTTCCCGAAAGCAGGGCAGTGGTCCCTGCCTCTCGTGTGGGTGTTTCCACAATACCTGCAGTTGGGGTCCACCGCCTTGTTTGAGTCGCTCTGCCTCGCTTTGAAGTGCTTAGCTGGTTGCCTGACAGCAGAGTGCACTGTCTCGGTGTGCATTACGTGTGTCCCAGCAGTTTCCATTACTCGCATCCTTAAATCTGTCTGCTCTGCAGCACGACACATCTCGATGGCTGTGACTAAGTTAAGATCCTTTTCCCTCAACAGTCTGCGCCTGGAGCTCTCACTTGCAATGCCCAGCACAATTTTGTCACGTATCATTTCGTCTTTTAATTGTCCGTACTCACACGTTGATGCTTTCTCTCTTAGCCTGGTCACAAAGGCGTCTATTGATTCACCGTCCTCTTGTTTGCAACATCCAAACAGATATCGCTCATAGATTATGTTTTTTGCCGGTTTGAAATACCTCTCCAGGGCGCTCAGTATAGCCGCGGGATCCTCTCTCTGCTCCGCCGTGAGGTTTAGGTTGTGACGGTAAACATGTCTGCATTCGCTGCCCATAACATTGCGGAGAGTTGCCGCCTGTATTTTTTTGTCCTTTTCCGCCACTCCAGTCACAAGAACATAGTCTTCATATTCCGCGCGGAAAACATCCCAGTTAGTGCTCCAATCGCCCGTGAAGCCCATCACAGACGGCGGGGGAATGTTAGCCGCCATGCTCACTGCGAACGCGGTGCCTGTTGATTCCTCTGCGTCGGACATGAATGGCGCCAGCCGCCCGGTTTGGAGAACACAGCTACGTATTACAGGTACAACGAATGGTACAACGTAGTCACCACTTCTGACACCATGTTTGTGTCTAGTGCAGAACGGTAGAGAAGGAATGCAGAGACACGAGTTAAGTATAAGGTGCTTTATCAAACTGCCCAAGACTGCGGCACCAAGGCCGTATATGAGACACACGCGCATGCGCCCTGGCGGTGCTTATGATAGGATGACAGAATACATAAAGCACTAGACTCTGTAACGCATGATTCAATGATTTAGCCCAAATAAATACACACGCGTATGTGGAGAACACAGTAGAACTCAACGAGTCGTACACAATGTTTGTCCGAAACATGCACGCATGCGCAGTCATCAGAGCTATTTTTAGCACATTTCGGAAACCGGACAGTGCCCTATGGAAGCTCGCGTTCAGCTGCTCACACTGACTGTGTATGAGCAAAGGAGGAGGAGGAGGAGCGAGACAGAGGTGTGTGAGGAGGAGCAGCGAGGAGGAGCGACACAGAGGTACACATCAAAAACATATTAAAATCATTAACAAACAGCGTATGCCCTACTTAAGTGCTCACTGAGTGCAGTGGATTTCTGGCATAAAAAGCCTTGTTGTGGTCAGAGTGTGTGTAGAGGAGGAGGAGGTCAGAGTGTGTAGAGGAGGAGGAGGTCAGAGTGTGTGTAGAGGAGGAGGAGGTCAGAGTGTGTAGAGGAGGAGGAGGAGGTCAGAGTGTGTAGAGGAGGAGGAGGTGGTCAGAGTGTGTGTAGAGGAGGAGGAGGAGGTCAGAGTGTGTGTAGAGGAGGAGGTCAGAGTGTGTGTAGAGGAGGAGGAGGAGGTCAGAGTGTGTGTAGAGGAGGAGGAGGAGGTCAGAGTGTGTGTAGAGGAGGAGGAGGAGGTCAGAGTGTGTGTAGAGGAGGAGGAGGAGGTCAGAGTGTGTAGAGGAGGAGGAGGAGGTCAGAGTGTGGATCTCCCTGATCCTCCACAATCATGTGTTGCACCCTCTACTGAGAGTTTGGGAGAGGTTTGTGGTGTGTTGTGTAGAAATAAACAAAGTACATTGCTGTTATGTGTGAATTATACACATCTAGATTTAGATTGTATTCATTTTTTTTTTTTTCAAATAGTTCTTACTACTATAGTCGTTGTTTAAGGTTGAAGCTTGAATGGATTTATATGAAATAAAATATTTGTCTGATGTCCGGACCCTGATCTATTGAACTAATCAAGTAGGTGGACCTCATGCCAATTTAATTGGGGACCCCTGATATACGGAATCGGGACGGAAGCGGAAGTAAATATTACAAATTACCTATTAATGCCTAAACTTAACCAGCCATTCCCATAAAATAACCCCAACCCAGTCTTAACCCTAACCTTAACCATCTTACTCAGACGCCTAAAACTTAACCAGTCACCATTTAACCCTTAAATGGGCAAGCACATATAAAAACTTTGGAAAAATAATTAATTGCTATTTTCTAATGTTTCTAGGCTAAAATAACACAATTTCATGATTTTTTTCAGAATATGACCTTTATTTTTCATTTTAAAGTTTGTATCTCCCAGGATACATTGCCCGTTTAGGGTAAAAATTTAACATTTTCAAATATTTCATTTGTAAACTTTTAAAACATATTATAAGCAATTAATTAGTTACTTTTTTCATGTCTTGTAAACAAAGTTTAAACAAGTGGGGGAAAAACTGAACACAAGTCATTGGAAACAAATCTAACTTTGAATAAACAACGAGCTACTAACATTATTACTGTTCTTATGCAAACATCTCTCCTGTGGAGCTCCTACACTAGAAATAGCTTACTGGCAGTGGAAGCTGTTGAAACAGTTGCGAGGGTTTTGGCCTGTGACAATGCAAAGCCTCACTTTGCACTTCTGACACACGATGGAGGTCTGTCCATCCTGGCACATCCTGCATCGGCCTTTCACTGACACGATAGGGAAGTGGTCAATCCTGTCATATATCATATCATCCACAGGCCTGGGGACTTTTGGCTGTTTGATTACTCTTGGTGGTGTGTTGTCTTCGTTTCCTCTGGAGGGGCGACCCCTTTTTTGCTTTTCAGGGTAGATGAGTCCTTTGGCAACATCCAACCTAAAGACCTTCAGGCAATGATGTTTCTGACCCAGTTGGGCTGCATCACGACGATGGAGAAGCCAGGCATTATTGACAGCAATGTCAACCATCTGCCAAAATATGGCCAGGTACCATCGATGTGACTTGGCTGGAGTGCGATAGAGGGCAATCATCATATCAGCCAAATCTACTCCTCCCATGTGAGTGTTGTACTCAGATACAATCTTCGGGCATGGCACGCTTATCTTCTTCTTTTCCTCTTTGGAGTAGTGTCTCACTTGGCCAACTGGGCTGACAGAAGCAGCCCAGAAGTTGTCTGCCCATTTGACCACAGCAAGCTTTGCATTGTTGTCTACACGAAAGTCAAAGCTGCCTCTTCCTCTTCGTAGGAGGTCTCGATCTTCTTCCAATGTGCAACCCATCAAGCGGTTCTTTCGAATGGTACCCAAACTTCTGAGGCCCATAGACTCCTTTAGATGAGTTATCAATCTCAGGGATGTGAAAAAGTTGTCAAAGTAGACAACGCAGTTGGAGGGATTTCTGATGGTTCTGCACAGCTGCAGAACCACATTTCCACATAACCCAAACTCTTTGTCTAGAGAAGCACGATCAAATGTAGACCTCCCTGTGTAAACCATGAAGTCATACACAAAGCCAGACACACCAGCTCGCACAAAGATCTTGAAACCCCATTTCTTGGGTTTGCTGGGTAGATACTGCCGCAGACTTCCAGCTTTTTTGCCTTTGTATCCATCATTTCATCAATTGAGAATTGGTTTTCACTCTCAATTTCCATACACTGCCCCCTCATGTGGTCAAGTACAGGCCTTATTTTCACCAGGCGATCTTCACTGGAATCAGAGCTCATGTTATCTTGAAAGTGGAGCATCCTGGACAAACATTTATACCTCTTGAGTGGCATGACATCTGCTACTTTGTCATATCTAGTATCTGTTGCCCAGTAGTTTTCCACTGCAGGCATTTTCACTACACCCATCATCAACTTCATTCCAATGAATGCTTTGATTTCAGAAGCATCAGTGTTGATGCTACTTCCAATGAGCTGACATGAATACAAGTTCGTCTGGTGAGCAATGGTCCCAAAGATGTCCTCATCAAAGAATTTGGAGAAGTATGTTAACGGCGTGGATAGCTCATCTGGTGTAGTGAAGCAACTTGGTGTAGCAGTAGACTGGTGCTCAAATTTAGTTTTTCTCCACCTATTGAAAAGGAAAAAAATATCTGTGAAAAAACAGGCACCCCCTTCCCCCAATCACCAATACAAACCACCAAAATCTTTATATTTTTAAACTCCTGTGTGTGTGTGTGTGTGTGTGTGTGTGTGTGTGTGCGCGTATGTTAGGGTGTGTGCGCACGTTCGTGCGTGTGTACATGCATTCCTGCGTGTGCGAGTGAAAGAGACTAACACACATGACCATACAACACATCATGTTTTGCTGCAGACAGATGCAGTATGTACAATATCTACACCAAAATAGTTGGATCTTTTACATAACAATTCACTATACTACTTTAATCATTACCTGAACATCCTCCCTCTTTTACTGTGGTTTGCTCCCTCTTCTGCCTCATCGTCACTGCTGCTGCTGCTGTCCTGACACTGGCCCTCTGTATACAATTCATCTTCCTCATCTTCACTGGTTCCCTCATCTTCATCTGAATCAGATGAACCATCAGGTGGCAACACAACAGATGCCACCTCTCTCTTTCTTGTACCATAGAAAGTACTGGTAGAAATTCCCTTAAAACATATGTACGCAGGTAAATTAATCAGTAATACACATTTAAGAGTAAAATGTAGTGTAATCAACATTTAACACCTTTAAATTATTGATTATCTGTAGAGTATAGGCTTCAAAACATAAGTATATCTGAGAGTGATTATGCCTGTTTATATACCCCTATCTGGGCAACGTATCCCCCAGGATACAGACATTCAATGCCTGTTTATCAAAGTTGTGTAAATGTAATTCATTATTTTTCAACAAGAACACATAAAATTATCCTTAAAGAACAATATTTTCAAAAACAAATCCCCCCAAAACATAATTAACAAGAAAAATAACAACACTTACCTCATGCCCAGTGTCTCTGTCCATGTAGGCAGCCATTTTAGAGTGTGACATAAATGTATCAATTTAGTTTTGAATGCTGCAAAAAAGTCACATGACCTGGGTACCCATCCCCCCTTAAGACTTTCTCATGATATTTAGTGCAGATACTTAATGCCCCTCCCCCTACAGCCTGCCAAATGTCTGTATCTCCCAGGACACAGAAACCATTTAAGGGGACTTATTAATCTAAAACTAATTCGAAAGTACGAGTGCTACTTCCGGTTTCATCCCGATTCCGTATATGATCTAGTGCCGACCACTCTCGTATTCGTCCCAGAAACCGGATTTGTCCGGAAGTTCAGTTTGATCCAATGAGCATACGCAGCAGTAGATTACGTCACGGAATCTGGACGGAAGCGGAAGTAAATATAACAAACTATCTATTCATGCCTAAACTTAACCAGCCATTCCTGTAAAACAACCCCAACCCAGCCTTAACCCTAAACTTAACCATCTTACTTAGACGCCTAAAACTTAACCAGTCACCATTTAAGGACTTATTAGTCTAAAAATAATTCGTAAGTAGGAGTGTTACTTCCGGTTTCGTCCCGATTCCGTATATGATCTAGTGCCGACCATCTACTATACAGGGATCAAGAGTTCCGAGCTTCCGGCTCAACCGCACGGCATTGTGGGTAGTTTTCTCGAAAAAGTGGGCATGAAATCACGCTCTCCTATTAGATTACCTGTTGCGAGCGTGATCTGTCTCTCTTTTTTCCAGGCCATCGATTGTTTTAATCGCTACAAAAGTCACCAATTTCAGACATTTAGAAGGTAAGGTAAAGATTTTTTCATGTAACAAAAAATCTATTTTTTTTTTTTTTTTTGTGGTTTTAGATATAAACACAACCGACTGACTCGATGTTAACTGTGTTTTCAATGAAGCTAAAACCTGTAGGAAGAGACAGAATACTACAGAGTGGGCGCCCCAAAAAGACTCTTCATGTCAGACTACTTCATTTACGCGCAACGTGTAACTAGCACTAGGGTTGGGCGATATTTTTGTTGTACCGGTATACCGGTATAAGTAAATTAAATGATAAGAAAATGCCTTATACCGGTGAAAACGATCATTTAACACTGAAAACGGCGAGCGGAAGACACGTTTGTGTGCGGCGCACTTTGATGACGCATCTGCGCGACACGTGTAGCAGAGCGGCGTGCAGGGACAACAACAACAGAGCAGAGAGCAAACATGGCTGAGGGCGGCGGTGAAGACCATGGTGAAGACATGCAGATTGTAGAAGACATTGTGCCAAAACGCGGAGCTACCTCAAACATATGGGAGTAGTTTGGGAACTAGATAAAAAGAAGCAATTGTGTGTAACTATCGACAGTGGATCTAATGTTGTGAAAGCAGCTGCAACAACTGGACTCGAGTGGCTTGCTTCGGACACTCGCTCTCTCTCTCTCTCTCTCATAGTGCCATTGGTAAGCTTTTACTGTTTACTGTCATTCATTTTACTTCAATGCATGTGTTTGTCTACATTGCAATATAATTACAAATACGTTATAATTACATAATTATAGAAACGCAAAAGGATACAAAAAATATATACAGTATTTGATCATTTTGACTATATTGGGATTAGGAAACATAAGCCAAAGTGATCAAATAATTATTTGATAATGCTACACTTTTTATATTACAAAGGACAAACTTTTATATATTTTACAAATTACAAATGTTCACCTTTATTACATGTTGCCTGCAATTTTCAGTATGTACAAAACAGAATTCTCTACAATTCAGTTTTGTTAATACGTTTTATATACAATAGCTGTATTACACATTTTGCTGCCAATAAATCAGTAAATGCACTTTGAGGCAAGTGTGTTTAAAATTATCAGTGCTAAGTTTTTATAGCTTTTATATGAGGCTTTGTTAAAATTATCATATCGTCATATCGTGATACATACCAACAAAAATCGTGATACATGCTGAGGCCCATATCGCCCAACCCTAACTAGCACCATTGGTGGGATGCATGGATCTCTATCATAATATCGGTGGGGTGACTGATGGCTATTACCTCCGACTCCGCTTACCCCCTGCAGAACTGGCCCCTAAAACCTATTCAGAACACCGGGCGAGTGACAGACGAACAGCAAGTATTTAATAGAAATGTGTAGTAAATTCTTTGGGCTGTCCTAAAGGAATGACTGGGACACTGAACTTGTGAAGTCCATGGTGCTGACTTGCTGTGCTCTGCAAAATCTGTGCGAAAACCTTGGAGAGGCCTACAGTAGGTCCCATTTCGTTTTGTCGCCTTTCACGCGTGAATAGCACGAGACTCACGTGTGAAACACGCGTCTTTTATTTATTTTTTCCCCAGTGATGCTGCAATGACCCAAACAACCACCAGGTGGCACTTGTGAGCAAGGTTAGGAACATTGGCTTCTCACCGCTCATTCTTCTCTCTTCACCGGATAACTTTCTGTGGCTTTATAGCTCAATGATAAGGAGCTAGACTCTGGTGCGAGAGGACCCGGGTTCAAGTACAGGCTATGACACTTTTGATTTTGTTGACGTTTACATTTTTTCTAAAACATTCTTAGTAATTAGGCCAACACATTTAAAATAGTTGCTAGACTGTAGTAAACTTGTAAAACGCGCTGGGTGACACATGGCTGGGGGCATTAACGCACGGGTTTCCACTATTCATTCTATAAAAAGTCCACTTACATTTTTAATGTAGTCCATTTAAACTTAAGTGTATTTGTCAGACACACATCCACGCGTTTAGCGGCAGAGGAGGGGGCAGCCACAGACGCTTCTCCCCTCGCTCCTCTGATCAGAATGTTTTACAAATATAATGGAGTTGGCTGATGAATGTCTGCTTAGTTTAAAGTAGAACAGTTCAGTCTAACTTTAGACTCAATTGTGTAATTGTCACTGCAGTGACTTGAGCTGCTACAGAGACATTTGAGCTCAATGACCGCTATAAACGGTTTGATGTCTCTGTTAAACAACATTCAATATTTTATACTTTGCTGCAGACTGTTACTGTAGGCTACACATGTTTTTCCTTCACTGAAGCAATTATTGCTCTGCTAATGTTTGCACTTAGTTTGCATTTTTAAAGGCCAACAAAAGGCAACGTAACGCTGCCCCGGGCGTGTGATGCGTCGCTTTCTTTTCACTTTTAACTCCCCAAAATAAAATAAAGATTTAAAACGGTGGCTCTGGGTGGATTGTGCAGTCGCCGTCTTTTCGCTAGCCGGAGTTTTCTGAACTCTGTGTAAAGCTGCAGTCCTGGTTAGAGGCGGCGCGGACGTACAGAGCCACGCACATTAAGCATCTCTCTAGAACGCTGCCAAATTACAAC